GGACCTGAATCCAGGAGAGCTGTGCCAAAAGGACCCTGGTGATCTGCTCGTCCTCAGATGACAGAGTCAGACTCTTAAAAAATAGTTGTGAACCACTGTGTCCCTCATCCCCACCCCAGCTCTCTAATCTGGTGAGATGCAGAAGGGTTGTTTTAATCGCTGTTTTCACCTTGTCTTCTGCTCCTGCTAAAGTATTTCTAGCAACGTTAACTGCTTAACCTCCAAATAACCAGCAGTCCTTCCCTTCCTCTTTCATGTGCAGATGAAAAAGAAAGCTGGAAGGGGATGCACAAAACAATTAATAACCAATAGCCCATGTAATAGATCCCGCTCCAGTCCGTCCTCTCTAGATGAGATAATGGAGGCCCAGAGAGGTGAAGTAGCATGCCTGAGGCCACACAGCCGTGGGAGGCAGAGCCACCACGAGGACCAGGAACTTCCCCACCCCCAGTGCACTGCTTCCCGCAACCCTCATCTGTTTGGGAGCTTGGATTCTTTGCCAGGTGCTGAAATGTTGAAAGCGCAGATGCCAAAGCCCCAGCATACGCACCGCTCCATCTGCCAGCTAGCGAAAGGTAACCACAGTCCTCTCTCCCTAAGCACTTGCTATGTGCTACATGCTCTGGTACAGACCGTGCATGGTTATTTCCACTTATCCTCACCGAAACACAGAGACGTAGGTTCTATGATTGTCTGTTTCACTGATGAGGGACCGGAGACCCAGAGAGGTTAGGGTCAGTCTCACAGCACATAATTGGCAGCCCCTTAACCCTTTCACTTTGCTGCCCTCTCTTATGCTCAGCTCTTGGTCAGGAGCCGGTAGCAAACCTGCAAGGGCAGAAGCACAGTCCCCACACTTGAGAACATTATGATCTAAATCAGGATGGGAGGGAGCTAATGAGTGCCTGAGGCATGACCAGGACCCTGCTGGTCATGCAGTGGTACCTAAGTCCCAGGGCACTCCCATGTTCTCTCATTCCATGGCCAGAGATGCACTAATATACACAGGAGTCAATGGATCAGGTGGCGCTGGGTCTGAGGGTGTGAGAGGCGGGGAACCAGCCAAGGCCTCACAGAGGCCCTGAGATTTATGACAGTTCCATCCATTATCAATCCTTTGTAGCCTACCTGGCTCTCCACGGTGGTCAGCATGGCAACGTGACCTGGTGGAAGACTGAAGGGCTTTGCAGTGACACAGACACATATTCAAGTCCTCATTCCATTGTATCTGGTTATAGCAATTTAGGGACTATAGGAATATAGGAATATGAGCTTTGGAAGTAGATTTAATAATGATTCTCTTCCCATGACTGGTGTGAAGGTTAAGTTTCGGCATTGGGGCACAGTGCCCAGTGTAGCACTGATTCTTAGAAATATGGGCTATATGGGAAAGTAATTGAAACTCTAGGCTCTAGTTTTCTCATCTATGAAATGGGAGTATGGAGGCAGGAGCTGATTCTAGTGGAGAAAAGCACAGAATTGGGGTCAGATTACCTAGATTTGATTCCTGGTTCTGTCACTAAGGAGTTATATGATATTGGGCAATTTCTTTAACCTCTTGAGCATGAGGTTCACATCTATGGGATTACCTACCCTACAGGGTTGTTAGGAGTATCAAATAAGTGAGATGTAAAGTGCTCAGAACAGCCCCTGGCACTCAATGTGCTTGCTGTAATTATTATCATGAAGAGCTGTGGAGAGGGGCCGGAGCACTCAATTAAAGCCTGGGGAACTGCACAGAGTAGATATTCAGCAACTTGTAAGTGTCTGTTGCTTTCAAGTGCGCATCCCTACCCCTGTCTTCTGTAACAGAATCATTCTTTCCTCCAAGAAACCTACTGCTGGACCTTGCACACTCTCCCCCCGAAACAAGGTGACCCAGACTTCTTCACCCAGAGCACAGCATCTCATTGCAACATGGACATGTGACCAAGTTAAGCAATCTGCAGGACTATTCCCCCGGGTCCCCTCGGAGTCTTCTGCTTTGGGCTGCCATCATGTGTGCTGTTCCAAGGGATGGGGAGAGGGAGGTGAAGTCCAATGAACAACTGGGTCCAGTTGTTCCTAAAGTCCCCCTCTCCCTTCAACTACCAGTGGACTCCTCAGGCATATGAACTAAGATATTTCCTCTGTGGGTTAGACTAACTTTAGTCACATTTCTGTCACTTACTAGTTAGTATTACTGTTATAGTAGCAAAGGTTCTCAATAGAGATTATTTCTCTTTACTATCAACACTCAAAACATGTCTAATTGCATGTCCATAGCCTTTCCAAAAGGCTTTTTTTTTTAAAAAAAATGAGTACTAAGCAGTTTTTGTCTATAGGTCTAATAAGAAAGGGTGCGTCCAGATTGCTTCATATCTCACATGCACACAGAAGAGTCAGTCACACAGTGTCCACGTTTAGCATCCCCAGAAAATGGCTATTGAGAGGCAGTGCTCTTTTACAACAGAGCCAGTGGCATATGTATACACACTCATGATTGCACATTTATTGATTTATAATTTGTACCCTGCTTACTTCCAAAAAGGCCCTGGAGTGGCTGACAAAATAAGACAAAGACACAATAGGGCCATTAAGAAAAATCAAAGATCAAGCCCAGAGAGAAAACGGGATTGCTGATTATAGCCCAAACCCAGGTTAATATAGCTGCTTCAGTGAAAAATAATTTATTTAGCGCTTAGCTTCCTGGCAGCAATTCAGAATGTGTCATGACAGGCACAGAGAACTGGGCATCCTTCATGCCCCCAGCTCAATACCCACTGCCGACGCCAGGCTGGAAGAAGCACTGGGAAAAGCCTACTGAATACATGAATGAGTGCGGGAGTGAATGGCAGATAAAAGAGCCAGAGCTCCCTAAGAGCACTGTTTATATCCTTAGGCCGTACCACTCATCTGTTCGCCCACCATTCAGGAGTGCCTGTGTATGCCACACTCTGCCAGGTCGGCATCTGGAGCAGGATGGATACCAAAATGAGTCAGACATCGTCCCTGCCTTCCTGGGGCGGCTCTCTGGCTTGAAGAAAAAGCTCAGTGCAATGTCTGTCACTGTTCACAGCAACTCCTAGTTTCTTCACTGCTTCCCAAGAAAGAAGGTCAGAAACAGAGGCTAGGAAGATGGGAGTTGTAGGAGGAACCATAGTTATCTTGGTGATTACACTCATACAGCACTTTAAACCCTCAAAAACACACACACACCATTACTTCATCAGACACTTACAGCTCCTGGTGAGGTAGGTAGAAGAGGAGGGTGTGTCTCCTTTTTCCTCATGAGCATACTTAGACACAGAAGGGAAAGTGACTCTCCCAGCCTCTCTCAGAAAGCGGCAGTTAGGACAGTTCCCTGGGCTGTCCCACACTCCGTGCTGCCTGCCTGGGTGTGGCCCCCAGGAGCTCAGAAACAAGTTATCATCACCCAGAATGCCTTCTCTGCCCGGATCAAGACCAGCCCTGCACAATATGGGCATCACCTGATGGTGTGGAGATTACATGTCCCGTGAGCAAGAACCAGCCCCCGACATCCTGCAGTTACTAGAACAGTCAGACCCCACTCGCTCAAAGCCTCCCAGCAGCCCCAGCCCGGGCACCTTCTGTTTCCCTAGAAAGTGATGCTGAGATTACAGGTGAGTGGAAGATAGTCCGCACTATTTAGCTAGGGCAGGTTGATAAGGCACCAATGCGGTGCTGGGTGGAGAGATGGCTATCAGGGGAGCATTTCAGGGAAGAACTACACGGAGGAGAGGAAATTCAAAATCAGGGTGATTTTGCTGTGTGCCCACTTGGTATTGCTCATTCAGTCCTGATAGACACACATTGCACTTTGTCCACCCTCATGCCCATAAAAATGGATTCAGAGTTGAAGAGTAGAAAGAGGGACATAACCTTCCCCACATTTAGCTAAGTTGGCCAAGTGGACTGAGCAAGGGAAATGGAATACACAGCAAGAGGTACCTTGACAAAGTATATGGTGTATCCTAGAGAAGGCAAGAGAGGTCGCTGTACCAATGACACACCAGCCAAAGCTTGCTCTTGTTCCAACAAAGAGCCCTTTAAAATACATTTATGTATATAGTCTTGCTGTGTGTAACATGTAGATAGAGATGGAGATAGAGATTCCTAATTCAGAACTCATTCTTAAGTGCACACACCAACATATGTTTCGTATTTCCCAATTTATCCCGGAAACTATATGCATTGTTTGACTGCATAAGTAGGTATTAAACGCACAGCCATTGCAAATGGGAACGGTGGCCACCACTCTGGCACCTCCCCAGTAAAGTTAGAGTCTCCCCGGCCAGGCTGTAAATTTCACTGCCTGCCTGCTAAGCAGCCAGACATGGCGCAGCTCCATTCAGACAGGCAAGCCTTGGGCAACCCGGTTCACCCCATAACATACCCTAGTCCATGCCAGCAGAACTTAGAGCTCAAAGCCATGGAGCTGTTCACTGCCAATAATTAGCACCTGCCTCACACCCACTGCACGTGAATCACAACCCCCTTCTTGATGTGTGTCTCTGGCTTCTGAGCTTCTAAACTCACAGCAAACAAATGCACAGAGGCATCTCCAACTCTCCTTTCCTCAGGATATCCTGGACCATTCCAGAAGACAAAGCAAAACTCAAGGTGTTTCTTTTCCCACAAAATCACAGGCCTCCAGCCCCAGGACTCTCCAACTGGTAATGGTGGGAAGCAGGCAGTAGGCGGGACTGGTCTAGCCAGCAAGGTGGTGACGTTGAAATGCTTAGTCCAAACCCATGCCCTCTGGGACACTACCACTGCTGCCTGCCCCCACTGGCCACACAGGCCGCCAACCTTTGAAGGAAGGGGGCAAGGAAATCGGGCCTGGAGGGGAGTGTGGGGAACAGCACATGGATACCCAAGTCTCCCTGAGTGAGGCCTAATCGCCAGGTTCTGAGCAGCCTGGGGCTCCGCGCATGAAGGCAGCCACATTCTCCACATAACCAAAGCCAGGCAAGAGAACACAGTTCCACTCTACTCACAGTCTGGTGAGCTTCGGTGTGCTCTGGAAAAGCAATTCTGGAAGGACTTGGAGTTTATTCTTGTTCAGACGTCTAAAGAGGGAAAAAAAGAATGAAAGTATGTCAAGGGGGTATTCAATTGGATCAAATGTGTTATTCACAGACATTACTTCAATCAATCAATCAATAAATCAATCAATAGGTATTAGGAGACTTTCTAGATCAGTGGATGTGGGGTGCTCAGCATGTGTAAGGCAAACTCCACCTTGCGGAGCTTGCGGTCAATCCAGTTGGAGATATAAGGCAAAGGTCCTTATAAGCAAGGACAGAGCATGCGTCCTGCCCCTCCCCATCACAAGCTTAGGAGAGACACCACTAATGGATCACAACATTCTTTCCCACGGACCCCAGACAAGCCTCTTGAATTTTTCTCACCACGTGCTCCAGATAGCTAGAGCCAAGTGACGGAACTGGCATGTGAAATGGGTCCTTAAAAAGAAATAACATAAGAGAAAATATTCCAGATCCTAAGTGGTGAGGGGGGAGGGACAGACCGCAGTTGCTACAGAACAGTGAAGAGGGTGAGGGAGATCACCATGGATTCAGGGGCCCAAGGGAATCCCTGCCAGCCTGGCTCTTCGGACCAGATCAGGGCAGGGCTGCATTTGACTTTTGTGGACCCTCGGCACTTTTTTCCTTGTTGGCACCTTCCTCCATAAAAAATACATACATACATACACACATACATACATACACATATATATATACACATAATATTTTGCTACTATGTTAATATAAAAACAAACATATTAATATTCTATATTATAACATGTACTCTGATCTGAAAGCTCATATTTATTTTTTCTTCTAAGTTTAGAAGAAATTAAGACATTTTCATGGACCCTTAAAAGCATTGTTGGCCCTGGGCACTGTCCCCACCGTGCCTCATGACACAGCTGGCCCTGGGTCAGGGACCACGGTCTAGGTGGGCAGTGTGGCTGGAGGTAAAACTCTGCCCAGGCGGGATGCCCCTTGTTGGATGGTGGCAGCGGAGCTACACTCTCCCCTGGGAATGGTCCGCGCTAATGCCACAGAAAATAAGGCATTTGAGTTTCCGGGGGATGCCGAGCATTGTGGTGGCCTCCATGCAGGCTGCTCTCCTGGGAGTATGAGCCCAAGGAGACCCGATCTCATGCTCCCTACCCTGCCTGCCTCTGCCCTAGCATCTCTACACAGTTTAGTTTGCGAATGCCTCAACAGGGTCCCCTAATCTTCCACCCCCTGAGCCCCCAGGACCCCCTGGAGGACAAGACAGTTCATAGCCTGGCTGAACCCTCCACGCAGAGTGAACAGTGTATATTTGGTTACTTGGGGGAACGGTAGTCTCCCATTTGCCAGCGAAGCAAACTGGAAGGGATGAAAAAATGAGCTGCTTCTCACCTACCGACCCCAAAGCCCACGCTCCCCCCACTGCACCAAGCAGATATATCCCCTGAGTGGGATTTTGCTATTTCCCCCCTTTCATCCCAGGTGATGGCTGAAGACTTCAGAAGGACAGGGGACTAGAAAGAGGTCACAAAGGGCCAAGCATGTGAGGGGGGGGCATTTACGATCTCAAAGAACAGGGCTGCTGTCAGCAGTGCGCTGCTCAGCCCGAGGGCTTCACGCTCTGCGGGGCAGGTGTGCAGCAGCGATGCTGTTCCCAGGCTCCTGACTGAAGGGGGACTGGAAACCCTCACATTCCCGCTTGCCCCATCGGCGGCCTGACTCCCGTGCCACTGCTCTTTTTTTTTTTAAGAATTTAAAATTTTATTTTTCAATTACAGTTTACATTCAATATTATTTTGCATAGTTTCAGGTGTACAGCATAGTGTTTAGGCAATCGTATACTTTACAAAGTGTTCCCCCCAACATTTCCAGTGCCCACCTGGCACCCATCCAGGCTCTTTTAAATGTGTGTGTTTGTTTTTTCTTGTAGGTTGTGGTAAAAAACAAAACAAATCACAGAAAATAAAGTTCAGCATCTTAACCATTTTTAAGTGTACAGTTCAGTAGTGGTAAGTATATTCACACTCTCGTGCAACAGATCTCCAGGACTTTCTTGTCTTATAAAACTGAAACGCTATACCCATTAAACAAGGCCCCGTTCTCCCCCGCTAGTGCCTGGCAGCCACCATCCCACTTTCCGTCCCTGTAAATTGGACCAGAGCTCTTGGATCACTCCTGGTACCTGCTCTTTGTGTGTTTGTCTCACTAAAGTGTAAAGAAAGGGGGAGACCAGAGAAGAGCAGAATGAGGGGAATCTAGTTACTTATTTAGAGCAGTGCCCATAGAGTCAGTGGTAAGTCCCTTTAAATCACGTGTGAGTCCTGGTCCTGGAGAGGGCATGTTCATATGACGGAATGGTTAGGCCAGGGTTCACGTCTGGTTATGTCATGTTCTTGCTATGGGACTTGGGAAAGGTTATCCAGCCCACTGAGCTTCGGTTTCCACCTGAAAAATAACCCTACTCACTGGGTTGCTGTAAGCCTTTTAAAAATATGTTTTTGATTGATTTTAGAGAGAGAAGGGAGAGAGAGAGTGAGAGAGAGAGAAACATCAATTGGCTGCCTCCCACAAGCCCCTTACCAGGGACTGAGCCCACAACCTCGGCATGTGCCCCTACTGGGAATTGAACCTGCGACTTCTCAGTATGTGGAATGACACTCAACTAACTGAACCACACTGGTCAGGGCAAGGTGGCAGTAAGTCTTAATGACACAGTGCATGCATAGTGGCTAGCAGGCGGTAGCAATCAAAATGGTGCTTATGGAGTCCTAACTACATGCCAGATGGTACACTACATGCTGGATGGGTAGGATCGTGGGCAGCAGAGCTCTGAGGTAGGAGTCATGATTATCCGCATCTCATTGATAAGATCTGAGGCCTAGAGAAGCTGAGCACATTCCAGAAGGCCAGTGCTCAGCAGTGGTGGAGGCAGGATTTGGACAAGGTGGTCTGCCTCCAGCGCCCTGGTTCTGAACCACTCAACAAACACAGCTATCTTCTCCTTTCCTTTTTGTTCTTCCCCCTCCCCTCCCAACCCCCATTTATCCAGGGTGCCACCTCTTCCATCCCAGCCTGGTCATCCACCCACCCTGAGTGCATTTCCCTCCCTGAATAGGACTCTCTTGGAGGGAGGTCCCTAAGGCCAGAATTGTCAACAAACACAGCTATCTTCCTCTTTCCTTTTTGTTCTCCCCCCTCCCCTCCCAACCCCCATTTATCCAGGGTTGCCACCTCTTCCATCCCAGCCTGGTCATCCATCCACTCTGAGTGCATTTCCCTCCCTGAACAGGACTCTCTTGGAGGGAGGTCCCTAAGGCCAGAATTGGGTCTCTATGTGGCTTCGTCTGGAACCACCCTCTATTGTCACAGCCACACAAAGCCTGGTGGGAGTTACACTCAGGCAACCAAAACGCCAGTCTAGGCAAAAATCCTAAAATCCAGCCCACTGCTGCCTGTGTGCTAAAAACCCAAAACCAGAGTTGAAGCTAAAAATAAAACCAGCTTGGCTCTAGGAAGGGAAGGAATCGTTTTCAGTTCTTTGCCGGTATTTGTGGCTGGACAAAAATAAAAACACAACCAAATTTAGCTGTTTGTGCTCTGTCTGCCTCTTTGTAAACCCTGAATGAGGAGTCCAGGGTGGTGGGGCGGGGTGGGGCTCTTCCCCCCAGAGCCTCAGGGTCTTTCCACTTCAGTGTGGGCAGGCAGGTTCTCCATATCACAAAGAGTTCCACACCCCTTTTCATTTCTAGCTCATTCCAGAAGTAATTCATGTTTACTCAGTGAACCAAGCCGGTCTGGAAGTTCTTCCTTGAAGAGCTGATGAGGGCTCCCAGCTGTATAAGGTGCACTTTTCACGTGGCTGCTCTAAGAACAGCTCCTGAACAGGGAAATAAACAGAATGAAGTGTGCCTTTCTCCTGAGAGGGACAGGTGATCCCTGGGCTGCCAACAGCAGCTTTTGGCCACGGCACCTTCCATCACTCAAGCCATCTACTCCTCTGTCACCCTGGGCCCAGAGGTGGAATTCTCCTGCCGTAGTTCAAGCTGGAAATAAACCCGTGATGCCTGGATGGAGAAGAGAACTGAAAGGGACCCGTATGAGGACAGACCTCAGGAAGTCAGGAGAGGGGCCACAAGCCAGGTCAGTGATGGGATGAAGCCCATGGGGGAGGGGTGGTTCCCAACTCCCTCTAAGGTCAACACTCTTCCTCAGCTTTCTTGCTGGAACAACGTCAAAAACCCACAGGCTGCTAGTTGCAAGGTCACTGCTTTTCAGACTGAACTGTGAAGCTTCAAGAAACAGAGCCTTGTGTTTGCAGTATTGCTGATGACCTTCCTGGAGGTGCCTGGGTGTAAGATCTAATTAGAGGTTGATGCCACGTGGTTTGTGGAATTCATTCACTTATTTATCCATTCAACCATCCAACCATTAATGTATCCATTTAACCAGCTACTATCTGTCCATCCATCCATACATCCACTCACCCACCCACTTATCCAACCATTCATTCATCTATCTATCTATCTAATATCCATCCATCTCTGCAGTCATTTTCAATATAAATGTATACGATTAATACAATTTAGCCCCTTCCAGCATCTGCATGAATAAAATAAAGATGAATAAGAATGTCAGATGGCAGTGGAGAAGACAGACATGACAACAAGAAGTTACACCATGATCTTGTTGGGAAAGTTATTGTGGGAGCATAGAGGAGGGGCGGCTAACCCAGACCTGAGTGAAGGAAGGCTTCCCAAAGATAGTGGTTTAGAGTTTACTTATGAAGCCTGATTGTGACTCTTCGGGAGAAAAGGAAGAAGGTTCTAGACCTCAAGGGCAGTATGTGCATGCATGGAGGGCTAGGAGACTGAGGAGCATTCGGGGAGCAGACTTGCATTACTAGAATAGCAGGTGACTTGAGAAACACAGGGATGCAGCTGCAGAGCTAGACAATGGTCACATCACGAGGGCACCTGTGGGTCATGACAAAGGATCTGGGCTTGGCTGTTCACTGAGAGCCATAGAAAAGGTGTGAGCAAGGGAAT